CGGCCGCGCGCCCTGCGCCTTTTGTCTGGCGCCGAGCGGGCGTTTGCGTTGCATTTCGGACACCTCCTTTTCGCCTCTGCTCGCTCCGGCGCACATCCCGTCCCCGACCCGGGGCCGTCCCCCGCCGGCCTGCCGGCCTCCTGGACCAGAGCCCGCCGACGTCTCCACCCGTGCGATGTCTCCTCTCCAGAAAGTTGCGGCTGCCTCCTGCTCCTCCTCCTCCTCCACCTCCTCCTCCTCCTCCTCTTCCTCCTCCTCCTCCGGCCGTTGAAACAAAGTCAGGCTGAGCCGCCTCCCGTTCAGGAGCGCGCCGGTGCTCGGCGGCTGCACTCCATCTCCCCCGGGAGCCCCACTCGTCCCGCCATGGCGGAGGGCGCGGCTGGCAGGGACAGTCCGGCGCCGCCCGACTCGGCGGCGGCCGAAGACGACCCCCGGGTGGACCCCCACGCCGGCTCTGCGGACGGCTTGGCGGTGGGCGCCGCGGGCCGGGGCCGGGACCTCCGGAGCGGGGTCGCCCTGCTGAGCGCCGCTGGGGCCCCGGCGGACGGCGAGGCCAGCCTGCTGGAGGCCGTGCGGGCGACCCCCCGGCGCAGCAGCATCATTAAGGTAAGGCGGGCAGGATGCACGCCCCCGGGGGGCGTCGCAGGCTTGGCATTGTTTGCTCCTTCCCATCCTCTGCATTACCCAACCTTCCTTCCTCGTCCGGAGGGTCCCAGAGCGCTCTCGCGGCGGTGAGAAGCAGCATGACTTTTTTTTTCTTTTTCTTTGCCCTGACAGCGGAGGAAAAGTTCCGCTCCGCCACTCGGAGCGTTGATAGAGCTCTTTCCTCCCTTTCCCCGAAGGCTTCGGAGACCCTTGGTGCGGGGAGGAAGCGCGCTCTCAGGGCGAAATGCAGACACCACTGGACGGTTGCGCACTGGTCTCCCGAGCCGAGCCCGCTCTTTCTGCGTGGAACCCCAAATGCTCAGCTTACCCTCGGATGGGGGGCGGGGGTGGGGAATCCTCTCTTGCTTCAAACGGTCCTGAAATCCCCAGAAACACGAAGTTTGCCGATAGGTAGGCAGTTTCCAGTGAACCCTTGCAACAAAGTACAGAGGGACGGAAACCACAGTTCCTGCGCTGCAGAAAGCGCAACACAATCAATGCCTCAAGCCTCATCCCCGACCTTGTGGTTTTCTCCACCTCCAGGAAAAAGCTCCTGACCAGACCCAGGCAGGCTCTCTCCCCATCGATTTAGCAAGACCGTTGTAGCTCCCCATTCCAAATGTCTTTTTTGTCTACCTTCCACTTGAGGCTTGTTTCTTGAGATTTCATATTTTGGGTCCATAGCTTTGGGTGTACATCTCCTGGAAGTAAGAGCCCTTGACTGGCTCTGGAAAAGGGGCTCAACATAAATGCATGTAAAAGTAGTAGTGCCAATGTGAGATTAAAATCGATGTTGACAGAGAAGCCTGATTCTCAGAATCAGTGCGAAACTACTCGTAATAAAAAAGGATAATGGCTTGCTTTCTGGATAATGGCGTGGAACTGCCGCTCAACTGACTGGGTGCGTGGATACATTCAAAGCCCCTCTTCTGGTCTCTTTCCCAAGGTATAAGTTGGAGCCCCCAGCGCTCTTGAGGGCAGACTCCGCCCCCAGCACACCCACCTAGCTCCAAGTAATGGGCTGCTCTCCCCCAACATTGACACATGGAAGTTAAAAACCAACAAGGAGAAGTCTATATTAAAAGAAGAGTGGGTGCTAGTTGCAAATGATTTGTAATAGTTTCTGTTATTGTGTTGGCTATAGATGATGAGAAAAGGAGTATTCTATGCTGGGTGCAAATTTGGATTAAGGGCAGTCTTTTTTTTTTAAACCTACATGTCAGAAAAACATATTACTTTGAAACGTTAAACTATTAAGGTTAGAAAGGAAATGTATGCATATTGGATTCTGATGTATTGATTGCTGTGTGTAGTGAAAACAGGCATTGTAGGGTAACTTATATGATGATAAAAAGCAGTGGATTCCATAGTATTGTAAACAAAACAAACCAAAAACAAAATAATGGAATATAAAGGCTGTCAAAGTTTTACCAGTAAATCTGCCATTTCCCCATCATGCTAGAGTCTCAAGAAGGCTGGTATCAAGTAATGATGCCTCTTGTTTGGAAGTCTTCATGGCAAAAAAGGAAGGTGGCAACTGAGTATCAACTTGACCTTTTCTCTATATAGCAGTAAATTAAATATTTAATAACTGGGCTTTACTATTTAAAGATACTACAAAATGAAGTTAATTCAAAATAATAATATTATGAGGTCTTATTGACAAGTAATATATGCATAATTGTAGCCACTCCAACCTCCCCCCCCCCACATACATGTCCACCAGTGGCTGTAGCACTTCTTACATGAGCACACCTTTTGTAAATATCTTTGCATATATTTCTATATGAACCTTTGATTCATATATTAACTATTGAAGCTCACGATTTATATAGTAGAATTTAAACTAGAGTTCTAGAAGCTTTATCTCTTCAAGTTTGTTTCACACATTTTGGTGCCTAGAGGGTCTTTGTGATGAGTTGTTTAATCTTTAAGGTGACCAGGTAGGTCATTTGTGGATAGCAGCCCTTGTGTCTGTCCTCAGAGGCCTTCATTCCTTTCCAGGGGGGAAATAGACAGGTGGGGTGCCAGGTTCCAGATCCCTCCCAGAGATCAAGGAAGGACCTTTCTTTTGACTTCCTGAATCTACTGTTCCATGGCTTGTTCACTTACTACAGTAACATGGGAGTTTCTGGAAAGAGGTCTAAATTGTATAATAAGTACATAGCACATATTCTGTGAGAAGAGACAATACATTCTACAACTTCTGACAATTGTTTTTACTTGGCATTAGAACACAAAAATGAAAGACTTTAAGATATTTATGTGAATCAAAACAATAAAATGTTATCCTAAACATTCATAATGTACTAATAAATGATATTCACAATCATAATTCTGAATGACTAAAAGGTTGTGAATTACCAAATACTAAATGAATTTTAGCTTAATTTGTGGTTTTATTTCTCTTTTAATTATTTGAGTGCAGTTTTTCTATTAACTTGACTTTTAGATAAATCAGAATAGGACATTCCTCTATCATGCTAGAAAACAGATTGTCTTGTATATTAAATAAAAGGAATGTTTTCAGTAAAGCTGCCCTCCCTAATATGTGAAAACGTGTGTTTAGTTTAGAAAACAATTTCCTTCTGAGCGGATGAAAACAATGACGGCATTTATCTTTCTACATCTTCTGAAAGTTTTTTTTAAGGGTATCGTGTTTATTCCCCTCTATGCCAAATCCTGGGTTTAAAATTTTTAATATGTGAGTTAGACTAGGTTCTCTATATTCTTTCTACCTTTTCTTCTTTGCTTTTTTGGTGTGATTATGGATTGATGGCGTGATGTGGTTTCTTGAAAGTGCGTTATTATCTACCACAATAATGTAATAGAGTTCATTTTAATTGCTTCTTGATGACTTTTGGTTTAAAAGGACAATTACGTTATGTTTGGGGTTTCTAAAAAAATTATGTTTACATTTGCTAATATCTGAAAATTATGCACTCTTCTGCTTTTAATATATTTCTAATTAAGAAGTTAGACACAGCTTCTATTTGGTGCTTGATGTCACCCTTAAGAAATAAATACATTTGACATTTAAAAATATAATGCTTGCTACAATTGATGTATGGATTTAAGAAAAATAAATTTATTGGGGACTCATACAACTGTTATAATAATCCATACATCCATCCATTGTGTCAAGCACATTTGAACATTTGTTGCCATCATTCTCAAAGATGTATAAAGTGTTATAAGAGCTGTAAGAGTCCCCAATAAAATGATCTTTCAATAAAAAAATATCGTGTACAGTTCCATAATTTTGTAATATGCTACAACAAGAAAGCAGCCTAACTTATTCATTGTGCTCAATTGTGGAAACTGAGGTACACATATGGGTTAGAAAGAGCAGGTGTTTCTTCCTCCATTACGTGAAACATGTTGAGGGGCTCTACTTTTTCTCATTTCCTTTGAATTCTATGTAACTCTGAATTCTCTAGGCAAAGAGTAGAAATTATCGCTCGAATCTCATGGACATAAGTCCAGGGATGAAGATAGCAGATCTTTACTGACGCAGCTTAAGTTATGGTTTCAGTGTTTCCATGTCTCAGTACTTCCTATCGTGGCCCATCTTACTCAGTAATGTGCCCTGGGGATGATCTGCAGCTTCCAAAGATGTGCTTTGGCTACCTGTTGAACCACATCACAATTACAGGGTGAGGGTAGTGGACTGTGAGTCAGGAGGTGCCCAGGAAGCAGTGGCGTTGGTTCAAACTTACCACCTTCTTAGAGAAAGATATGTTTGGCTGTTGGCTTCCATATGGTTTGTTACAGCCTTGGATATCCTACGGAGCAGTTCTACTCGGTCCTACAGGGTCACTAGGACTTAGAATAGACCCAAGGGCAACAGGGTTGGTTTTGCGCAACGAATTGGGCACTAACTGAATAACTTTAATGTATTTTCACACTTAATCCTCAGGGGAAATAAATTCTCAAAAGCAGGAGAGGGACACACAGAAGGCTGCTGATTAACTGCAGAGTTAGGACTCAAACCCAGGTCTGCTTTATCCGAGCTTGTGCTGGATCTCCTTATGCTGTCTCTCAGATGCAAAGCATTCACAGTAATGACTCTTTTCTAGGTTAGAAACAGCTTGAGCTCCTAAGAGGGTGACAGAAGAATCAGACTCTTGGGCCTTGACATTTATGGAGTGAAAGGATCCTTTTCCTGCCTTAGAGCCCTTGGAAGACATTGACTAGAAAATCAAACCAAAGAAACTCTTGCCATTGAATCAATTTTGACTCAAAGCCACCCTATGGGACAGTGTAGAACTGCCCCTGTAACATAACTCTGTAAGGCAGTAGGAAGCCTTGTCTTCCTCCCAGAGATCAGCTGCTGGTTTCAAACTTAAGACCTTGTGGTTAGGAGCCCGGCACGCAACCCATGGTGCCGTCAGGGCTCTTTGAATCCAGAAAAGGATGGCAAACTCTGCCCCTTTGCTTAGAGTTGCCCTGTGCTTTGAAAGGGAAAGCAGTTTGGCAGGAGTTCTATTTGGTGTCAGTCTGTGAGCTCACACCTGTTGTTTCATGCCAGTCCAGCTCCCTCTGGGCCCCGCCAGAGAGCTGAGTTTGTGGATGGCTGTCTTCATCTTACAAGCTGCTAACAGAGAGAACAAGATTCTGGGACTTAGGAAGATACACCATTCTAAGGGAATGATGACATGGAATCTTACGTTGGAGCTCTGAAAGCATTCCCCCAGCCCCACCCCCTTTAGAGGCTCTTATGAAGGGAAATTAAGGGCAGTTGAAAATTTACTTAAAATTGTAGGTGAACTGAGATCCATAGAGTTTTGTCGATTGGCCTGGGAATGAACAGACATTTATAGATGTCTTTTTTCGGGATGAATTTGGAGGGGGAAAATCTGATCCTATAGGGAATCTGACCAGTCTGTACTGTAAGGGCGGTCGTAAGTGTGTACTGTTGGCTATGTTGGGGGTGTTTTCTTGAGTTATGATTCAGTTAT